TAATGTTTTATTTATAAATTAATAGAATTTACATCTTTAAATAGAAAAAACAAAAAAGTACATATTTTTATCTCTTCTTTTCTTGCTGCCCTGCCGTTGGAAATTGGCAACTTGAGTTCATTGGTGTGTGAACAAAATGAAGATGAAATTTGTGGTGAGATGACTTTTTGGACTCGATGGTCTCACCCATCTGGGGTTCGAATGTTCCTTCTGTTTTCTGAGTTCCCATTGTCTGAAAAGGACAATGGAGGAAAAAATTCATAATGTCGGTTTTACTTAAGAACTTTTGATAAGGTTTCTATGACGGATCAAGAGAAACTTATACATTGTGGTTGTTAAATAAAAATTCTAACATTGACTTGTAAGCAGCACCAAATGTGATAAATTTGTGTAAACCAAACCACACGACGAAGAAGTAAATTCTACGTGGAAAATGGGCCCAAAACAAGAGGTTGTTTGGATACCATCTTCCTACCACCGTTTAGGAGAATAGAAGTTTGCTACGTAGGACAGAAGAGAAGGAAAGGAGACCGTTGAGAAATGGTTATGTTGAAAAACAGATGGGTATTTGACTTGTAGAAAAGTTCTTCGGGTGAGATCAGAGATCTCTTTGACATAGGGCAGATAAGCCAAAAGAGGCGAGTACGTTTTGCATTTTGTATTCTGATGGCATCACCATCTCCGCCCTTGATAGTGTTTAAAGTTGTAACATGTCGTTCATCATTTCTGCCTTTTTATTAAATGCTAACGCCCTCACAAGTCATGACTCTCGCCTCACCTCTCAATTCTTAAATCTTGGATGTGGATGTATTACTGCATTATGAGAAAAAAAATAACCATTCAGATGTTTAGAATTGTGTAAAAAATTAATTAAATGTTAATAAATAAAGAAAAGTTAATGGTTTTTTTTATTAAATTGTTAAATTAAGTGTTAATATCTGTTATTTTGTAAGAATATCAAACTTTTAAATTGGATGCATTTCACCTGCTATGCAATAAACAATATGATCACTATTGGGCCACATAAAGAATTGCAAGTTAATGATTTTTTTATTATATATATCGTTACATAAATTATTTTTAATGATATATCAAATTATAAAAATAATTTTTAAGTTAATTAGTCAAATATAAATATATACAACTTTTTCAACGATTGATGGGAATGAAAACTAGTGCAATTTTCCCCACAGCCACTATTCTTTCTAAGTTGAAACATCTGCTCCATTTTATTTTTTAAAAAAAAAGAAAAAAAAAAAAAGAAGAAGAGACAAACATATCAAATTATCATTACATTGCTGACATGGTCATGGTATACAGTTGAGCTGCATTTTCATAATTAAAGTAAAACTCATATTTTTGATTCTGTTTTCCTAAGTTGCAAGTAGTGGTGTATTTTATTATGTATTTGCATTGCAGAGGTTTGTAAAAAGGGGAGACAACTGCAAAGGCAACAAAAACATATTTTTCGGCGGATCAGATTTAGGCATTGAATCTCAATTGGGTCTCGATCTGAGCTTCTAAAAGGCTTCTCCTTTTTCATTTTCAAGCTTCGATTTTGATTCTCTCTATGAATCTGTGCTTCTAAGATGAACGAATCTGTTCAACGACAGTCCCGTAATGCTCAAAGAGGGTTCAGAGTTCAAGCTCCACTGGTAAGCCCCAAAGTTTCTTTATCCATTTGGCTTCCCCTAATGTTTACAAAATCTGTTAGATTTAACAGCTTCAAGTTGGTGAATTTGTCACTAAATATGCTATCTTTGAGGGAATTTCGCAATTTTTGATGAACATGAGTGTTTGAGACCTGGTCGTTTTGTGATTTTGCGCATGTTCTGTTTCTGGGATTTTGTTTTTATGAAGTTCGGAAGATACCCAGATGGGAATTTTTGGTAATTATGCATTTTTTACTTTGAGGGGCATATTGTGCTTGAGAATTGGTTGTTTTTTTAAACTTATTTTCCTCCTTGAGTGTACTGTTTTTTTGAAGTTTTAATGTACCCATGTGGTGACTGATTACTTGAGTGTTTTTGATGAGTTTTGGGATTTTGATTTCAGATCATCTTCGCATCCTTGATTGGTAGTTTTTTGTTTGATGACTTTCCTTTGAGGCACAGATCAAATTGTACTCAAATTAGACTCTTTGAGAAGAATTTCTAATTTGGGTAGAATTTGGCATTTGATGAAATGAGCTTGTGGTTGGGGATCATTTCCTGTTTTACTTCCATTAATCCTGCAAGTTTGCGTGTTGAGTGCTTAACTTGACTTTTTTTATTTTTGGTTTCCCCTTCATTTGTGGATATGGTTATCTGGATTTCAATATGATAATTGAAATTTTGGTTAGTTTGCTAGTTGACTTTGCTTTAGATATAGATCTGGTGCTCAACAACTTGTCGCCTCTCCCTGTTTGTTCTCCTGCTTTAGTGACTTCTCAATTTGTCAACAGCATCATATAGGAAATGAAATTCATTACCCTGGAGGGAACAGTGTAAGAAACTATATATGAGTTCTATTGTTTCCATTTTCGTTGGGGTTTTGTAGACAAACCCACTTGCATGAATAACTTGTTGGCTTTGTGCTTTATTTTATTTTGAAGTCTGGTTTTTGTTCTTTCTTTCTTACATGGAAAGTTTTGCAGGTTGATTCTGTATCATGCTATTGCAAGGTAGATTCTGGCCTAAAAACAGTTGCTGAAGCAAGGAAATTTGTCCCAGGATCAAAACTTTGCATCCAACCTGATATCAATCCCAATGCACATAGGAGTAAAAACTCACGCCGAGAGAGGCCTCGAGTACAGCCACCACTCCTGCCAGGCCTTCCTGATGATCTTGCCATTGCATGTCTTATTCGAGTTCCTCGCGCTGAGCATCGAAAACTTCGTTTAGTTTGTAAGCGATGGTATCGCCTCCTGGCTGGCAACTTCTTTTATTCTCTTAGGAAAAGTCTTGGAATGGCAGAAGAATGGGTTTATGTCTTCAAGCGAGACCGTGATGGGAAGATCTCTTGGAATGCTTTTGATCCTGTCTATCAACTGTGGCAGCCACTTCCTCCAGTCCCAAGAGAGTACTCTGAGGTCCTTGGTTTTGGTTGTGCTGTTCTAAGTGGTTGCCACCTATACTTGTTTGGAGGGAAGGATCCACTAAGGGGGTCCATGCGACGTGTCATCTTTTATAGTGCCCGGACAAACAAGTGGCATCGGGCACCTGATATGCTTCGCAAACGTCATTTCTTTGGTTCTTGTGTCATTAATAACTGCCTATATGTGGCTGGTGGTGAATGTGAAGGACTCCAAAGGACTCTACGTTCTGCTGAAGTTTATGACCCTAATAGGCACAGATGGAATTTCATTTCAGACATGAGTACTGCCATGGTACCTTTCATTGGGGTTGTATATGATGGAAAGTGGTTTCTTAAGGGCTTGGGGTCACGCAGAGAGGTCATGAGTGAAGCCTATGATCCTGAAACTAATACCTGGACTCCTGTCAGTGAGGGGCTGATTTCTGGATGGCGGAATCCAAGCATCTCTCTGAATGGACAGCTCTATGCCCTGGATTGCAGGGATGGGTGCAAGTTGAGGGTTTATGACGAAGCAACAGATTCATGGAACAAATTTATTGATAGTAAGCTTCATCTAGGGAGCTCCCAGGCGCTAGAGGCTGCTGCTCTTGTTCCCCTTAATGGCAAGCTCTGCATTATCCGCAATAACTTGAGCATCAGTCTTGTTGATGTTTCCAGTCCTAATAAGCATATTGAAAGTAACCCTCACCTTTGGGAAAATATCGCTGGAAAAGGTCATTTCAGGACTCTTTTTACAAACATATGGTCAAGTATAGCAGGGCGAAGTGGTTTGAAGAGTCATATTGTGCATTGTCAGGTGCTTCAAGCATGAGAAACGGAATTCATTTTGCTCATTCATGCTATTTGTTTAGATTTGTCATGCTGTGGATCAGAAGGCAAATATTTCATTATTTGTAGTTCACCAACATTTGGGGTTCCATACCTTGAAGGCAAAAGGCTGAATATACTCTTTGTTACCATTCCCAATGTTTATGCAGAGACCAATATCAAAAGTGATTTCACCTGGAAAATTGATTGGCATCCATGTTATAAATGTTCTGCTTCTTGTTGAGGCTAGAAGAAGCAAGAGATGAAGGATGAAGGGTGCTTTTGACAAAGGGAAACACGTGTGACCTGAAGGACCTGATACCAGCGGCTGATAATGCTTTAATGTTGTAAAGCTGCGGATGTTGAGGTGATTCACTCCTGATTTCGGCTATTAGAACTAAGAGATCATTTCTTTACATTAGTAAAGATAGCTGATACCTGTAAATCTAGCCATATGGCTTTAGGACTCCGTCTTTTCCTTTTCTTTTTTTTTTTTGTAGCCTGCACTCTTTGAGACCCTTTCTGTTTGTAAATAAACTGGTTTATTTACAATGAGTCAATATATAGTCGCATCACATATCTTTGTTATGTTTTGATTTCAAGATGGAATAAGCAACAAAGATACATAGTCCTGTCTATTTTGTCAGTGATACTCATAGCACTAAAAAGGAAAACATGAAATCAACAATTACAGGAAAAACAACAGCTTCTGCTCCAAAGTCACTACTTACTCCTAAATACCTGGTTAAGGTGCAGAACTGACTTCTGCCACTGACCATTATTCGTTGATACGAATGCATACAACCCCAATAATCTAAGCCCCTCGAGCTTTCATCTTCTGGTAGCACTTGATTGATTCCCCGCTCTGAATCTCGAGCTGAATGCGGAAGTTCCTGATGAAAGCATCAGCGTCTTTGTTTATATCACTGCTCTCAAACCCAGTCAAACTCCTCTCCTTCATTCCTTTCCTCTTTGCATCACTCTTCTTGTCATCCATGTCGAGGCTGATGATGACAATCTCTCTTTCATGCACCATTCTTCAATATCTCAGGAGAGAAACCGGAAGAAACAAAGTGGGGGGGGGGGGGGGTTTGGAGTTTTTCTGAACTTCCTAGTCCTTGTTGTAGAGGGAGATGAAAATCTTACTATTTATAAGCACAATCTGAGTTTCAGAAGCATGAATTTGGCATTGGTTTTCTGAGAATCATTTTAAACCTTTTAGTTGCAAGCCCATTTGATAATCCCAGAATCATTTTAAACTTTTAGGTAAACTTTTAGGTAATGCCCATTTGCAATGGTGACTTGTTTAGTGTTATCTCCATAAGGATATGTTCCATCTTTTCATTATCTAATTAATTTCCTTGGTTCATTATCCCACAAGTATATTATGATGGATTAGAAGACAGTACTGAGGGCATAACCGCTTGTAAATCTAATTTGATTTATCTGCTTTAAGCCTGAGTTCTAGAACTTTTTGGTCGAGCAGGTTGGTTCTTGTCGCATGGTATAATTCTTGCTTTCATTTTAAGCCAGTGAAAAAGGATTAATTTACTCAAGTAATAGCACATATTCTCATGAACTTTACTAGTTTTACTTTAAATATAAAATTCAGTCCCCAAATCAAAACCCCATTTCCCATTTGTCCACATTTAGATACCACCATCAGTATTTTGCTGTTACCCACTTCAACATACTGAAAAAGTATATGAAAAACATGTTAGAAAAAGTAATATCAAAATAAAATAGGAAAAGAAAAGAAAATAGTTTTGAAGCGTGAACAAAATCACTATTCTTAGGATATCAAAATACCCTCAAGATACAGCAAAACAAATTAAAAACTCTCAAAATGCAAACGTGAATGAATGACAAAATGAGTAAAATTGTCTTCCTAAGTGTTCTGAACCTTCTCTTTTATAAAACCCATGGTGCCTTTTGGTGAGCAGGACTATTCAATTCGTTCAATGCATCCAGTGAATGTACATGAGCACATATGTCCCTTGAATGCATATGAATGTATATGTTCCTTTAATGAATCTACATACATGTTAATTTGGATGTATAAAGGCAACTAATCATGCTTCACTAGATTAACGATTTAATCTATAGGTTCAGAATTTGTTTCAGTTGCTCATTTTTAGTTCAACACTTTAAACTATTCATCAAAACAACCAACAGAGGAAGGAAATTGGAATGAGGGTTAGAAGAAAAGATGTCGAAAACAACTCAGGAACTTGACTTCTTTTCTTGAGAAATAAGACATGAACTGAATGAAGTTCAGGAATAAAGAGGACAAGATGTCAAAAAGTAGAACAAGGAACAAATGCAATGCCCTGGCTCTAGAACATTCTCATCAGTCAATAATCTTGATGAAAATAGGCTCAAGTGCAAGAAAGAAAGAACGAACCATCCAGCAAGAGGAATACTATGAGATTGTTTGGAAATTTTGACACCGAGAGCATCTGTCATAGGAGTCATGTCTAGCTTTCCAGAAAGAGATGGTTGAGGTTTTCGGGTTTGCTTGGCTTCAAAGCCAACCTTTTGAAATTTTCATTCTCTTTTAGCTATTCTCAATTTGTCATTAGATATTTACTGCAAAACAAGTCACCAAAGAATAAAGACATCTAAGCATCTTAGATGTGGGGGAATAAAGACTGGATGATTTTGGTCATGCTTTCTCAGGCACAAGAGGAAAATTTGCTCATTAGGAGATTGGATGGAACTACAACTGAAAATGACTTTTATTAACAAGGTTCAGTAATTCATTCCATTTCTCAGTAACATCTTCAACTGCAAAGATGTGACATATACTTGACATTCAAACGCCCCGAGCTATCATATCCTGGAAGCGTTTGAAAGATTCTTCATGCTGAATCTTTAGTTGATTGTGGAAGTTCTTGATAAAAGCATCTGCAAGATCATTTATGTCTCCCCTCTCATCTTCAACAATCAACCGCCAGCTCATCCTTTCTTTCTTCCTTGCATCATCGCTCTTCTCCTTCCTTTCCTTCCTTTCCTTCCTTTCAGTACTGCATTTTTGCTTAGAAACCTCTCTGTGGCGCTCCATTTAAGCAGCTAGTCTTCAAAAAGGTTTTCTTGATACTCAAACAATGGCTTCCAAGAGGGGAAGAAACTCTGAGTGAGGATTAAGTTCCTGTTGCTTGTTGCTGAGAGGGGAGGAAACAATGGCTTCCATTTATAGAGCAATCTAATCTAAATTTGTGCTAATAAAGCACGAGTTTAGTGTGGTTAAGAAGATACGAAAGTACAAAGAAAGCTATCCGTTTTAGTGCTTATATTATGTTAATCGAAGGTAGAAACTGGACAGCAACATCTTTGCAGCAAAATATGGCATTATTTTATCACCAACTTGTGAGTCTTGTCGAGGAGAAACATTTTTCTATGCAACAAAAGACATTTTTATCTGTCATGTTCATAAGCTTTACAAAAGATGTTTTCTTAAAAAATATACAGATTCAGACATGGCGAAAAGGAGGTTAAAAGTGATCCTAACATTACCTAATTGTATCAGACGATAATGGTGACTGCCATACATACAAAGAACTCAAAATTTCACTCTTGGCTTACCATGAAAAACAAGCGAGGAAAACATGTTATAGAATTCTTTACAGGTTTAGATACAGCCATTGTTGATTCAAAGGGCCTGTGTAATTGGCTTCTGAGATATATATTGCCCAAAACATATATTACAGGAAGAAATGAGGTGAGCAAGAAGGGATAAATTACCATGACTGAACAGCAAGTATGAATTTGCATAACAAGAGTCGTTTTATAGATAATAAGACTGGATAGTCGGACAATCTGAACATTATTACAAGATAAATTCTCAGATGATCAATTTCTAGAACATCTGTGCCATGGAAACAGATGTATGGTTTAATATACGAGTATAAACGGCGAAATAAGTACATTGTTGTGCTGCCTGTTTTTACAGAAGCAAATTATGTTCATCTGGAAAGCTTCAAATAGATTGTGTGATGAAGATGAAACAATAAACCTGGGTTCCACCTGTAACAGAAGAAATAAATAAACAAGGCGTTAGCTCCCAAGTATGGCTAAATTCAATTGAACCTCTATAAAACTTGGGAAACTAATTGCACCAAATTTCCAATTCGGCGGTTCATCATAAAGGGAAAATCCTCTAATAACCAAACAAGAAAAATGCACATTATTCTTATTGCCTTGTCCCATGTCTTTCTTCTCTTTTGTTGGACTCCTGAATGAAAATGCAAAAACAGAAGAGGGGCATTTTGGATCCACCTCAAACAAGTTCAATTGGCTGCCATTAATAGGAAAAAAGTTTCTAATAATGTGGCTCAAGTAGTAACAAGAAGGAAGAGTTGAGCTAGAATGGGCAATGCCATTTGGCACGAGGAGTTGTTAAGCTAGTTGGAACTCGTTGTTTCCATTTCACATATCCCAATGGTTCATTTTGGCATCTAATAGAATTTAGGTTTCTTAACATGACAAAAATACATGTTCCCCTTGCTTCTTTCTGATACATTAGAGTTGAATACATTCTTGAAACAAACAAGAACCAGAACCTGCACCTTGTGATGTCTGAATACACATCAAATTGGGAGAATAAACGCATTGCACATGTTATCATTCCCAACGTAACCCTCAATTTTTGTAGAAATAATTGAAACATCAAATCTACAACAATTTTAAATATTATGAAGATAAAAAACCAATTGATATTCCAAGAGTCAGGGAAATACCTGCCATCAAACAGAATCCAGGCGAGTCAATCGAGAAGCCTTGCTCTTACAAGCGGGAATAACTTGGAAATCCTTGGCCGGTAGTTTCTCAGACAAAGCCCCAACATAGAACTCAATCATGTCAGAAATCTTGTCCACCTCGATTCCAGTAACAGACACCCAGATGAACAGCTTCTTCGCCTGAATCCCGGACACGCCGTGTACAGAACCATAACTCAGCTTCCCTTTGATCTGCTTATCATAGTAAACCAGCTGATCAAATTGAACGTAACACGGGTTATACAGCTCCACCGAGAAGTCTCCGTCGTCTGAGAGAGTATAGGACTTGACATTGTTGGGAAGGAGACCCTTTGGGAAGCCGTACGCGGGGAGGAGATCGTGGACGTCTTCGACGGAAGTGAATGGACGGATGAGATTGAGTTCTGGATCGGCGGCAGAAAAGTAGAGGTGGGTTTGAAGGAAGAGGGCTAGGAGAAGAAGGTAGAGGGACATCGGAGCCTCCATTGATGGAGATTTTTCCATGAGGGAGTTGAAATTTGAGAGATACGCAAAAGAGATGACTTCCGATCGGAAGTCGAAAGGGTAGATGTGTAATTCGGAGATTGGTGAAGGGTAAAATATGAGTTTCGCTTTCATCACATTCTCACTACGCTGTACAATGTACGGTGGCCGGTCGGCACTAGGACCCGCCGGCCGCCGGGGGACAATAAATTTAGGAATGTTAATAACTTTCATAAATTTTAAAAATCTATTTGCAAATTTTTAATATCAATCGCAAATTTTTTATATCAATCAAATTAAAAATTTACAACTTTTAACGTCTAAAGAATCAAAAGCAATTCTTATTTAATCTATACTTCATTTAAGAAAAAAGTTTTTCATATTGTAATTTAAGTTGTATCAAAATATAAAATATAAAGACGTCAATATTAGAAAACTCACATTTATTCAATGATTAATATTATATAATACCACTATAATCCACATTGCGCAATACTTTTTCCTTAAGAAAAATGATAGCTTTTAAAAGAGAATCATCATGATGATACCTATATTAACATACTGTTTGGATTGGAGGTGTTGAACAGAAAGGCAAGGAAGGGATGAGGATGGGGATGGATGACAAGGGAGGGGGAGTGAGGGGTGGTTATCTTCTTCCTCCTATTTGGATTTCTAAAGACGCAAAAGGGAAGGGAGATTGATTGATTTGGAATCCCTTCAACCACCCTCAAATCTGTCGATTTGTAATCCCCTGATTTAGGGGTTTGGGAGGGATTTCAAAAGTTGTTTAGATTATGTAAAGAATAATTACAAAATTAACCTTTTTATCCATTACCATAAATCATCCTCATCCACTTCCTCTTTGCAATAATAGAACCAGAGGAATGAGCAGGAACTAGAAAGTAGTGAGTATACCTTGAAATCTACTTTAAGTATACATCTAATGCTCTAATTTGAGAATAGAGATTGTATTATGCATGCTCATTGTTAACTTCATGATTCATGTTGATTTAAATTTTTTGGAACCAAAGATTTTCTTCATGATCCAGGCATAAAACATATGGAATAATGGAAGCATATCATTCCTAAATGAGCTTGGTTGGCTACCTGATAGATCTGAAAGTTAACCTTTGCACTATTGTGCTGTAATTATCTGGTATGGACATCCTTGTAAGATTTTAGCAACTATTATTTATTTTATATTGGTGTTAATTATTATTGTGTTGCTAATATTATTTCATACTGTGATATGCATTTCTTTTGCATTATTGCCATGACTTTTCTAATATCAAATATGGAAAGCAAGTTACTACTTGTAATAGATTGTGCTTCAACTATGTTTTAATTGTAGAGTAATTTACATACTGTAGTTGGAATATTCTCTCTTTAGCTTTTGGTTTTAATCTTTCTCTTGTACTGGTTGTTTCTCTGAAAAATCACTATATTTAGATGAGAACTGGAATGCATAGAACCATCAATTTCATAATTGAGCATAGTATCTTTGGCTTCTTGGGAATATGGACCAACTCCTTGAGTCTCTTTAACACAACTTGAATCTTTTGTTTTTCCCTAATACAATTTTGGACAAAAAAGAAAAAAAAAAAGAAAAAGAAAAAAGAAAAATGGGCGCTATGATGAAACTGTTCAAGAATTTTAACAAAAAGTATAGGATCGAAATTTTACTATGTGAACATCTAGTCCACCATCTAGAAATGTATCTTAACATAGGTGCCATAACTAACTTCTCTAGTAACAAAGACATTGAAGGTTTTAGATATAAGTTTGATGTGTCCTTTGTAGGCTGTGTTGTGAATTAGGTTACTTCCCTTTAGGAAAAAAAAAAAAAGGAAAAAGGAAAGCACTAAGACAATAAATTGAGAGGAAAAACATTGTATAATTTAGGCAAATGACAAATTACAACATCTTTATCACCTTTATGACACAACTAGCCTCTTTATGGGACAACTCAACATCCGGCAATTTGGATGGTTCAAGGTAAGGCCATTGAAAATAGTAAAGAAAAAATGAGAATGAGACAAAAAAGGATTAAAGAATTGAAGGAGATAACGCCAAGACCAAGAAAAAGGAGGTAAAGACATACTTGGTTGGAATCCAGGAAATAAATTAGTTCACATACCCAAATACGATAAGGCTCTATTAAGTTATGTAGTTAAGGATGGTAGAGTTAGACTTAGACACAACATCAATAGCTTGATAGTATATCAGCATACTCCTATAAATTTGGCTTAATATAACTTCAAAATTTGCAATTTATTCTGGAAAGTTGTAAACCACCTAATTTTCTTCCCTTTGTGTGATGTCCTTTCTTAATTTAGCTATTTTGATAGCGGTTTAGGGAGTGGTGTGGTGCCATGCTTCTACTTATTATAGTTTCTGCATGATAATTTCTGTATTTGTGGTTTAATAGATTTTGCTATCATGTTTAGTGCTCTTGAAATTTCCTATAACATTTTTAGTTTTCTCCACTTGTTCCATTCTTTTAACTTGATTTTCTGTTTGAATATTGATTTGTATCTCATAGATAAACATCATCACAAACCATTAATTTCACAGTCTAAGCAAAAGCAATGGATGTCTTCCCCATTCATCTGCTAAGAACATTGACACAGTAGTAGTTGGAATCTGTTTTGACATTGTAGTAGCCTTTAGGCATTAATCCAAGTAATTCTAATTTAAAATTTGCTATTTTAATTGGCATATTGAAATGCCTTATATTTATATTTGTACATTATTAAACTTTGATTATTCTTTCACTTCTTAGTTATATGGATTCATTTTTTTTTTTTTTTATTCTTATGAACCTTAATTAGGTATACAATTGAACTCAAAATACATCATGACATAGAATTTTAATTTGTATTTTATAGATATAGATGGATGCCATGAGAGAAATGCATATGAGGGCCATTACTCATCTAATATGCTTAATTGTTTATTGGTGGTTTCTTTGAAGTCGACCAAAAAGAAAGCTTCTTGATGATAATATAATTAATGAGACAGAATGAGTTGGAGATGAGATAATGAACAAAATTGTGGGGAGTGATAGAAGCCATTATATTATAGGAATGGGCCCTAGTGCTTTTCTACAATTCTGTGACATACTTGAAAGGGAGGGAGGTCTCCAAACCACAAGAAGAGCAACTATTGAGGAGCAAGTAGCTAAAACTCTTTATATTCTAGCTAAAGAATGCCAAAAACCATTCAATCTAATTTGGTTTTCATATTTAGAGAATCTACTAGCTAACATTTTTATAGTGTGTTGAGAGCTATAATAGCAGTTGAAGATAAATTTATTAAACAACCAGATGGTTCACAAATCCCTGTGGAGATAATGTCAAGTAGTAGATTCTACTCATACTTTAAGGATTATGTAGGTGCAATTGATGTAAAAGTCTCACCCTTAGATGCCTTAAATATTGTGGTAGAAAAGAGTATCCAACCTAAAATGTCTTAGCTACTTGTACATTTGATTTAAAGTTCACCTATGTGTTAACAGGATGGGAAGCAATTGCTTTAGATTGTAGAATTATTAAGGATGCATTAAAAATAGAAGATAAGCTTATAGTTCCAGAGGGAAAATTTTACCTTGTTGATGTTAGGTTTATGCTAAAAAGTGGCATTATAACTCCTTATAGAGGAGCTCGCTACCATCTACTCAAATAATCCTCCTCACAATGCTAAAGAATTATTTAATTTTAGGCATGTAGTCCTACGTAATGCTATTGAAAGAGCATTTGGTGTTTTGAAAAAATGATTTGAGATTTTAAGTGGCAGAATCGAACCATTCTGTGGAGTGAAAACTCAAAATGTAATTATTTTAGCTTGTTCCATTATTCACAATTTTTTAATGGGTTTGGATCTTGATGAAGACCTTATAGCTAAGGTAGCTATGGAATTGAGAAATTAAGATAATTCCCAACAAACTCGTACTTTTGGAGAGGAAGAAGAAGTTGCCACCGAGGGGGAAATGTTGAAAGATGTCATTGCTACTAATATATGACACAATTACAAAAATTGCTAGTTTACTTTATGGCTTTTTAGATTTTCCTTTTTGTAATTTTTTTTTTGTTCTTTTGACTTGAGTTAATTTCTTTGTTCTTGAATTATTTACTTTATTTTTTAATGTTATAAATAATAAATTTTCTTTATAATAAATTTTTACTGAATAAAGTTATTTAATAACTTCTTTTATTTAGATGAGCAAGAAGAAGAAAAATAGTAATATTGAAAATGCAAGTGAAGAAGGCAAATTAGTATGGACACCTATAATGGATGAGGCTCTTATGGATGCTTTCCTACATCAACATAATTTGGGCAATAGGGTAAATGGTTCTTTCACCACCAAAGTATATGAAAATATTGTTAACGAATTAAAAGAAAAACTTGGGAAGAAGGTTGACAAAGATAAGGTTAAAAATTGTATGAAAACTTTAAAGGCAAACCTTTTAAAATCTTATGATTTATTCAAACACCTTAGTGGTTTTTCATGGAGCCATGTTACCAAGTTATGGAGTGTTGAGTTTGAAGTTTGGGATGCATTAATAAAGGTACAATTTAAATTTAAATTTCCTTGCTAAGATTTTGCCAGACCTAAATTAATTACTTTTATTTTAAAATGTTGATGTTTTGTAGGTAAATAAGGATGCTAAAGAATGGATCACAAAACCAGCGTTGCACAATGACATATTTGTGATATTATTTGGAAATGATTGAGCTATAGGTGAAAAGTCAAAGATTGCAAAAGAATTAAAAAAAAAAAAAGCAATTATCCCAATATGATAATAAGTCTCACAATACCATTAAGGAAATTGATCATATGATGTCACAGAGTCAAGTATCTTTGAATGGTTTTGGAACTAATGATGTTGATTTTGATCCTTTAACATATATTGGGGTCCTTCAAATGTGCCAACTAGCTCAAAATCCAAAAATAAATAAATAGATAAATAAAGAAGTCATAAGAAATTGAAAATGAAGCAATGGACATTTAAGAAGCTATCAACAATGTAGCTCAAGCTTTATCTGAAAGGAATTCACGTCCTCCACTTTTAGAGGCTGAAGTTTGGAATATGTTAGAGGATTTGGAACTTAACTTAGATCAAATTATCTTTGCTTATTTATATTTGCTTAAGCATCCAGATAAATTTAGAGTAATACTATGATGTCACCTGGGAGATGCTTGGATATTGTTACAAGGGATGTTTTTGACACTTTCTTAATCATCAAGCTCTTGGGCACAATCATTATCTTTATTTTTTAAATTTGACTAATCTAATTTGCATCAATTGGAATTTATGTTTGAATAATTTTTTGTGGTTTAGTTTTTATTAGTTATTTTATTTTATTGTTTATTGGCATCATTGAGACTATATTGTAATAAAATCATTTGCTTTTCATTTTCAGATTCATTGTTTACTAATTGCTTCATTTACTATTTCTTTGTTAAATTTTTAATTTTATGTTTTTTCAACCAATAATTTTTTTCACTTTAATCTGCATTTACTAGTTTTTTAACCCCAAGTCACATATGCCCCAAAGAAACCATATGGTAAGATACTGGGTTTCTTTCGTGCAAACTGTGATGGATAATGGAGTGATTGAAAGAGTTCAACAAATGACACCAACTAAGAAAGAATAGGCATTCCCATTAGGAGCCTAAATGGTAAATTTATAAATTTCAAATTATTTAAATCCTTTCCTTCTTTTTATGTTAATTATCCAAATACAAAATAATACAATCCTTTCCTTCCCTTCCCCTTATTTTCATTTATCCAAACAAAATTAACACAAATCATTTCCTTCTATTTTCTTCCCTTCCCCTCCATTTCCTTTTATTTTCCATCATTTCCCTCCTTTCCCTTCCCTTTACTATTTTCTATCCAAACAAAGTGTAAGTCTCCTGAAACATTGTATATCTATATGTTTGATGTCAGGACAACAACAATTATTCAGCTCTATTGTCCAGTAAATAGGTGTGACACAATTTCCTATATCTGCTTTTGCAGCTTAATGAAACAGAGAAGGAAGACAAGCAACATCATCAATAGATGACTGCCAGAAATTGTTCTTCATTTCATACTTCAGTACGTAGACTCGAAACATAGGATAGATTGGTACATTAGCTAGAACCTAGAAGCTAGAGAATATATACACACGCACACTTTACTTAAACCAACTTGTTCCGGTAAGGCTTTGCAGACTCGTAATTGTGAGTCTGAAAATTATCATATAGAACTTGCATTCTATACTATATCTCCCAAGCTGCAGATGCACTTGACCGCAGCTACTCAGTAATTAGCATTGGGATGTCTTCTGTAGGTGTTGGAAGCTGCATATATCCAGAAAAAAGAGAGCATGAATTAGATCACACTGAAATACACACTCATGTTAAGGAATACGGAAATTATCTAGTGAAAACAATCCAGATGGGAAGTCCCATTAGGATTGATAAGCATGAAGCATGCATTGAAGTCATAACATGCTGTAAATTCTCAAACTTTTAACATTGTAATTTTGCTTAAAACCAACTATTATATCAGGATGCCAATGTAAGCCCAGAAATTTCAACATTCAAAACAGACTCCACCAAGTAAGTTCATGATTCGACCAATTTTCAATTACAATCTACAAAGTTCAATGAGAGTAGCAATTGATATTGAAAAAGACAAATGCATAAATTAATTTAGGGTGAATGCAGAAAATACTTCAATTTATGTTGAGCTAGCAGAAAATGAAAGTCTACAAAAGTTTGAGTTCATTTCTTTGGAAGAATAAGCATGAGATGGGAGGTACGTGTAACCAGAGATGGAAGAGAATGCCTCTTTGTCTAACATTCCTATTTCCATTAACTTCCTTATAGCCAGTAGCCACAATGGATAACCAAATTGTTCCTTAAGAGTTTCAAAACTAAATGACATTGAAAGCCAAACACTATTAAATCTTATCAAGGCCCAGTCCCATCTTGTTCCCAAAGAGATCAGGACTGCAACTGTTAAACCAACAATCTAAGGTAGCTATCTTTAAGATGCAAAGATAAGATAAAGTTCTACATAATGGCCATGATTCTAATGAATTCCAAAACCTAACTGAAATGCATTTCATCACTTTACACACAAAGCCAAAGGGTCATCTCGTTCTATTTTCATGCTCTACCTCATCTCCGAGTTAAATTGACAAGATGATGGAGATTCAACAACTATAAAAACAAAAATTTTTTTTTTTTGGCCAAATAAAACAAAAACCTTATAAAATCAACATTTTGGTAAGACCCTGATAATATCAGAAATTATAAGAATCACATTAAAATTCAGACTTCAATGAAACTATCAAGCCATATACCTCAAGAATCCATTATTAGCCATACAAGAAAAGAAAGATTATCAACAAAAAAAAAAAAAATCAATCAACACGAACACAACTCAAGAGAGATGCAGCACATAAAGCAACAAAGAAAATAAAAAACAGAAAATCAATATAAAATAGTACCAAAAGTCAAACCTAGTACCTCAAGGACCCATTTCCAGGAACCCCGGCAAGGTCCCTTCAATCCATCACGGCAAGAATGCACTGTCTTGAACTGCTCAAGGTCAAGCTTCTTGTTAATAAACCCGACTTGGAAGTAAATCGAATTGGACGGCGGCAAATCAACCTTGATCTCGTCGACACCTAACCAAAAGAAGAATCGCTGCACCTGAATGCCTTCCAACTCAGTTATGGAGCCATAACTGAGCTTCCCCGTGATGGTCTTGTCGTAGTACACCAAGTACTCAAACTGCACATAGCAAGGCTTCTCCAATTCCACGGTGAACCTGCCGTCGCTCTGGAGGGTGTAGTTGGTGACAGAGTTGGGTAGAAGGCCGCCTGGGAGGCCGAATTTGGGCAAGATTTCGTAAACTGTTGGTGGGTTAGGATCAGAATCGGAAACAGAGACGGAATCGATTATGGGGGCAAGAAAGAACAGCGCAATTAGAGCGAGACCCAGATGGGGATTTGGATTTTGCGCCATCGCAGAGAGATTTTTGTGGAATATTGGATTCGGGTGTTCTTTGGGGAAAGAAAGTTGGAGACTTTGGTTATAAAGTCGAAATCTTTAGTAAATTGAGCTGTAGAGATCCGGTCCGGTATTGTCTGGTTGTTTTGGTTACGGATCTTGGAACCGTATACCAGATTTTGAAATTTTATTTT